CTATTAATCGTGGGTATTTTACGGGGCAATTTCGTCTTAAGGAGAATGTAACTATTACGTGCCTCGACTTTGATTTTGTTTCATTTTCTTCATTCTCCTTAAGCCTTCTTTTTGATATTCACAAACCACAAATATACTACAATCTTAAGACGAAAATCTTGTGAGTTCATAAGATGGCAACCGATGGGAAACAAACGTCTTCTTCAAGTGCTCAATCGACCACTGCACCGGTTACTAATCCATTTACTCCGATGGTAGCCGTTCCGTCCAAGGCGAGAGACCACCGAAGTTCAATGGTTTTGATTTCAAGAGGTGGCAGCAAAAGATGTGTTCTACCTCACAACTCTCTCCTTCTCTTGTTTACTTTCGGAGGACTCTTTGATCGTCCCCGAAAGTGAGACTAACATCTAAAAACGTATGGTCTTGGATGTTTAGCGTCATAGTGATTTCTTTTGTAGAAATCTAATACTTAACGGACTAGAAAAGACATTATATAATGTGTATAGCCCGGTTAAGATGTCTAAGGAGTTGTGGAACTCTTTGGAAGCAACGTACAAAATGGAAGATAAAAGAAGTAAAACTTTTATCGGTAAATTCTGATTGACTCAAAGTTGGTGGTTAATCATGGTCAAGAGAATCAAATCCTTCATGATATGATGGCCGAGGAATTGATTGTGAACAAAGCCTTTTATGTGGAGGTTATTGTTGAGAAGTTGTCTCCTTTGTGGAATGACTGCAAGAGTTATCTCATAGATAAACTCAAAGAGATGAAACTTGAAATTGAAAAGTTGTCTCCTTTGTGGAACGACTTCAATAGTTATCTCATGAATAAAAGCAAAGAGATGAAACTTGAGAATTTCATAGTTCGTCTTCGTATAGAAGAAGATAATCGAAAATCTGAAGATTTGGCCAAATGGAGTAGAGGGTAAAGCAAACTTGAATGAGCCGAGCTCGTGTACGAAGCGTAAAAACGCTTTTCATGGCAAACCGAAATGGGACGCCAAGAAATCCAAGGGATGTTGTTACGTTGGTAATAAACCCGGGTACCTTGTCGAAAGTAACTAACTTCTGAATAGGGGTAAAGGCTAGTGCGAAATGTCGAGGACAAGATAATACTTGTTAGAGCTCGATCTTTCCGTCGTGGTTCGAGTACATACTTGATTAAAATTCCACGTTTATAGCGGATAAGGACAAGAGCCACTTGACCCATAGGCGCTTATAAATGTTGTCCTACAGCCCTAATATGGAAGGAAATATCTGTGGAATTCCTCGACTTCAAGTGTTGAAGGAAATGACAAGGTAGTGTGCTAAAAATTAATATTGGAGATCATGGATGGTCTTCATGCCCAAGACATCCATAAGAATCTAGTTTTCGGACCATTAATTGAGTAAGGTCGAACTTAGATTAGTTTGTGATTATCGACAAATATGTTATGTCGAAATATGATGTGTTCTTAGTATAAGTAGCCTTAATAAAGGTCATCTTACAATTATTGTAAACTATTGTTTAACGAAAAGATAAATAAGTTGGTCTTATTTATTGAGTGTTCTAATTTATGGCATGATAAATTGGAATATGTGAATTTTAACACTAGAAGTTGGTGAATCTAGAATTGATTCATACAATAAATATGAAAATTGTGTTAAATGAAAAAGTAGACAAAAGCATCGTATGAAATGGTTGCTTAATTAACTATTCCTCTCGAGATAACTCGAGTTTGTGAAAACTCGAGTCGAAAATAAGAATGAACAATGTATTGTCATAAAGCTTTTGTAGCTTTAAGCCACATATGAATGATGTTGATATTCAATGAAATAGTCGAATGAAATATTCACTCTTTAGTAGGTGATAATTCTTGTTCGTAAGCTTGATTTAAGCTAAATTCTTATGTAAGAATTAGTTATTTCGACAAAATTGCAAACACCACACGAAGGTAGATACGAAGCTCCTTTTATGTTATAAAAAGAGCAAAAGCATTCGTACCTATACCTTGAAATGTGGGGGTTTGTTCGGGCATGGAAAGCACCACACATAGGTAGATACGAAACTCCGTTTGAGTTATAAAAAGAGCAAAAGCATTCGTACCTATACCTTGAAATGTTGGGGTGTTCGGTCCAAGGTAAAAATACCTAAATAATGGAATGAAAAATTTGTTGAAATAATTTTGTCTCAAATTCATTGAATGAAAAATTGAGTCTATAAAGGTTCTTCCGACTCTTTGTGATCGTAAGTCTTATGTAGACAATATGATGATCTTGGAGTATAATCATGATGTGTTCATGAATACCAAGAGGATAAACTTTTGACTTTTAAAGTTTTTGAAAATCCGATGTAATTTTGGAGATTAAGTTTCTAATAGATCGGAAGTAATTGTTTGACACAATCTTACATGTCAAATGTATGTTGAAGAGGATCGATGTGTTCGATAAAACCTCAAGCTAAAGTGAATGTATAATTGATTCTACACTTAGCTAATAATTTGAGAGTAATTAGTTTCACGGAAAAAAGTATGTTGAATAATTGGAGGCTTGAGGTACTTGTTGGATAGTACTTGCCCCAATGTTGCATTTTCGCGAGAAAACTAAGATGTTCACGAGTAACTCGAGTGATGAATTTTGATCATGCTGAATAGAGTACTAGACATGAAAAACTCTAAGACAAAAAGTGACTAGGTGTTCACTTTAGATGGGTAGAGTTGTGTCATGAAAATTATCTAAGTATAAAGCTAGATCCACAATGATGTCCAAGTTTATAAATTTGGACTAAAGGCATGGAAGAAGCTAATGACTTAGAAATTTTCTAAAAGATATTCCTAGCTGGAATAAATTGTGCTCATGGAGATGATTATTTATCAATCAACAATTGGAAGAGCACAAAGTAGTTTGTACAATAGTAAGTCTAGACATAGATGTCGAAGACTTAATTCAATAAGAAAATTATCTCGTATGGAGGTTATATCGGTTGACTATGTGTAGTCAAAGATAAACCTAACGGATCCGTTTACATAAAGCATGAAACGAGATGAATTGTACAAACTGGTTAGAGGAATGAGCTTAATAAAAATCCACAACAAACGAACGGTCTTAGCGGTAACCCAACCATGAGAATTGGAGATCCCGAAACCTTGGTTCAATGGGAAAACTAAGTTTTGACAGTTCAGTGAAACACTTACAAATTTTTGCTCATTTCTAGAACCGTCAAGTGTTAAAATCTGCCTAAGTGGTGAGACTAAGTCAATGACTTTTAATGATTTCTATACCTACGGGTGGAGTAAGGCAGGATACTCTTTATAGGAGAATCACCTTTGTAAGTGAGAAGTAAATAGGCCGCTTCAATGAACACTTACTAAATCGAGATATGGTCCAAGGCCGAAATGGACACAACGTGAGAACAAGAATTGTTAGAGCTGTTATTGTGTGAGTACTATTGTCTAGGTGCACACAAACAGCCGGTAAGTTCAAAGCATCGCGCTACTAACCAGCTAGTGTATCAGATAGGATTTCACTAAGGAAGATTCAAAGCCACAAGCTATCTATCCTGATGCAATGACGGTTCGCCGGAACTCTCAATTATTGCATACATGCATTAATTTCATTCATGTGGGGGATTGTAAGAAAAAATTAGTTTTGTACCGATTTAATGATTCTACTTTTCGTAAGTAGAAGACTTATGAAATTCTCAAAACCTTTTTAAGGTGAATAAGATATTAATTCTAAGTGTTATATGTTAATTAATTGAGTTTAAATAACTCAAATGTAGGGTTCACAAACATTCTATGTTTGGACGAACTAAACGAGCCATAATTATGCATTATGCATGCTAGAATTGTAGAAGGGCTCGTTGGGGACAAGTAGGAAAAAACGGAACTCGATTCTGAGTCCGTATGAGCTCGTACGAGCGCGCGGCGCACGGGCGCGCAACTAGCTGCGGAAATCAAAGGGTCGCAACCCTTGGTGACCATAAGGTATCTTTTGGCCACTAGATGCATCCGTTCTCATTCGGGCACGTCCCAAAAGGTGTCTTCTGACACTTAAACCTCTTGGAGGTGTTTCCCTACATCTATAAATACCCACATACTTGAAATCATTAATACATGAAAATTAGAGAGCGCTTGCATTACTTTTCAAAGATCATATAGCATATTGTGTTCTTTGATTTTTTCATTGAGTCTTAAGAGTTCCAAACAATAGTAGTGTTCGTTGAAGGCTTATATATTTGAAGTACCGCTATATACAAGTCGAAAGTCGTTGTATCTTGGAGGCGTTTGCTGTTAACCTTGGGTATTTTATGGGGCAATTTCGTCTTAAGGAGAACGTAACTATTACGTGCCTCGACTTTGATTTTGATTCGTTTTCTTCATTCTCCTTAAGCCGTCTTTTTGATATTCACAAACCACAAATATACTACAGGAATCAGCAAATTGCATCTAAAATTCCAATGGAAAACTCATTCCAACGAAAGTTATACCATTGGAATATTCGTTGGAATTTCCGTTGGAATATATTACCGTAGGATTTTTCGTTGGAATATAACAATATTTTTGCAGTATCTTTTACATAAATTTTCACTTTAGTTGCAGTAAGTACTAATTAGTATATGGTACAATAGTTATATATCTGAAAAATAAATTACATGTAAAAAAAAAGTACTTTATGAAATAAAAGATAAAAGAGATTTTCTGCAGTGATTCCCGACCAGTATATGCCAAGGGGATGGTACTATGGACCAGCACCTAAAACACATGTTTGCTGAAAAAGTTAACTGAAGGAATATGCACTATTATGTTTGAATTGTTTGGCCTTGTGACTTCATCTTTTTTATTTCTTTTATTGGTAAGACACATTGTTCTGTTAATCTGCAATAATGAGTGCCATTTCAGTGTCATTTTTTTTTATTTTTTTTTTTTTTG